TCCTGTTCCGAAGGCGCGAAGTGGTGCGCGGCTCGCCGTCTGCGCTCCTCTTCGTTCCCTTTCCTCCTCCTCGCCCCCCTTTCACACCCCCGAAGGGGGGGGAGGGGCGGCGCGAGAGAGCGCGAAACGGATCGCGGAGAGCGACGCGCGAACCCGTGCGCACTGGGAGGAAGCGGCCACGGGGTGCCGCAGGAGGCGTCTGGGCACGGTGGGGAGGGGGGCAGGCAGGCGCAAGGGAGCAGATGCCTGGCATCGCTCGGACGTGTGCGTTTTTCCTTCGGCGGGGACCATCGAGGAGCATCCTTGATCATCTGGCGAAAAAACACGCACGAAACCGACAAAAACACAGGAAATGGACGTCCGAGCGATGGCCAGAGGGAGCAGATGGCCCCAAGGACACCCCCCCCCTACGCACAGGGGCGCGAAGAGGCCCGCGCCCGCGCTCCACGTCCCAGGGCAGAGGGCCGTCGCCACCCTTTCGGCTTCTGCTTGTCCTGCGCGCGCGAGAGCACCGCCGCGTGCGCGCGCTTGATCTTGCGAGCGGTAAGTCGGGCGTGTCCCTCTACAGGAGAGGATTCTTTTTTTAAGTGCGGGGACCATGTTTTGACTATTTCTGGCAATTTTGGCGTGCTATTGTTTTTTGTCAAACATCCGCCTACGGGAGGACACGCCAGACCTGACGCGAGCGCGCGAGCACCGCCGCGCCGCATGCTGCCGCTGTCGGCGCGGAGTGAGTGCGAGGCTCGGCGGCCAGTGCTGCAGAGACGGCACCGGGGCGGGGGCGAGGGCCGGCCGGAGGGCCCGGGATCGCCGCACGCAGATCAGTCAGCGGCGCCGTAACGGGTACTCACTAACGGGTACTTTTCAAAATTGCCGGAAGTTGCCTTTCTAGGGCCTCGTTGTGGCATTGCAGCGTTGCCCACATCGGGGAGGGTTAGGTTCGCAGGGTCACTGGACAAAGTGCCCGTTAGTGGAGTCCCCGTTAGAGGGGCGCTGAATCAGGGGCAACGATAGGGGGGGGATTGGCATGGGGGATGCATCGACACGCAATCGCCCATTCATCGCCGATAGGGGCCCGATAGCCCCAACCTGCCCAGGAAGGTACGACAGGGGGGGGAGTGGCATGGGGGATGCATCGACACGCAATCGCCCATTCATCGCCGATCGGGGCCCGATAGCCCCAACCTGCCCAGGAAGGTGCGGATTCACTATCAGGGGCCCATCGCCTATCGGCGATGTATCGCCGATTCCAGGTCGATGCATCCCCCCCTATGCCAGTCCCCCCCTGTCGTTGCCATTCGGCACAGGAGGATCGATTCCCGACAGCATGGCACGGGAGGTGGCCCAGCACTGGTTCGGAACTCAGGATCTCAGAGGGGGAAAAAACACAGACCCAATTCATCGTCGACCCCCAGGAGAAGATGGGAAAATGTGGGAAGACTATAAGGAATCTTGGGATTTGTGTAAATTTATGTGTGTGTGTCCCAGGGCCCCGTCATCATCGTCGTGTGCAGAGGAGGATCAGTTCTTGATCCTCGATCCCCGGTCCTCGATCCTCGACAGGGTGGCACGGGAGGTGGCCCACCACTGGGTTCTGGCCAGCAGAAGTCCAGGCCTCCCGGAGGGGGTCAGAGCGGATGGGGTCGCAGCATCGCGCCGAATCGCCGATGGAGTGGCGATGCAGCTCGATGTAAGTCGGGCACGTCCCTCTACAGGAGGAATATTCAAACACAGTCAAAAATATAGGGGGGACGATTTTGTTTATACAATGTTTGAGCATGTTTCGGTATTTTCACTTTATTCTTCCATCGACAATCCGCGTGCAGGGGGACATGCCCGACATAAAGCTCGATGTGGATCCCGATCTTCTCCGCGCCGACAGCGGTGATGTATGCCGACCTCGCCAGTGCGTCGCCGATGCGTCGGCGATGTATCGGCGATACGGCGAGATCCTCTGACTCCATCTGCTCGGACCGCATTTGAGAGGCCTCCAAGCAAGGGTGGATACGGCCCCGCTCGTCACCACTGGCTGGACGCGGCTCGAAAGTCTAGTCGGTTTCGACCCCGGGAGGGGTCCAGGGACCAACTTCAAGTAGAGTTACGTTCCTCTCCCCCCTCTTAGGAGATCTCAAATTTCCCGCTCTTCTCGAGGCCCATCCGGCGCACGCCCCCCAGGCGGTGCCCAGGTGATTCTCGCAGTGGAGGAGCAGGGGCGGCAGATCCTGTGCAGGGCCCGCTTTCGGTCCGTTCGATCCCGGTCGATGTCGAGTTCGGCCGGTCCGATCCAGTTCGGTGCCGATGATCCGATGTCGCCCGACACTTGTCGGACGGGATCAGGGCGAGGACAAGTCCGTTCCAGAGCGTTCTGGAACGCTCTCAGAGCGTTCCGGGACGCTCTGAGAAGGCCGCTGCTCCCGAGCCGCTGATCTCAGAGATGCTCGATTCGTCCTCACCCGACTTTACCCTCATCCGGGCTTACTCATCGGTCGTTGAAAGTCGGTATTTTTAGGTTCCCAGATTCCAATCTACTTTGAGCGCCTTCCTACTTCAATGATCGAGTGGTTTCACCTTTTCTGTCCTTCTCAGGTGGCGCACGGAACCCAATCTATTTTCAACGCCTTCTTTTTTCATGTTTCGACCTGCTTCTTCCCACCGATGGGTAGTCTCAACTGGCATGGCGTTGTTCTGCTTCCTGGCGCTGCCGATCCGATTACACTCCGACTCCGTGCCGATGCAGCCCGAGCCGACGAGCATCTCGCTTCGATTCGATTTCCAGAGGCGATGCTGGCTGACCCTGGTGCGATGTCGAGGAAAGGACAGTACAGGATTTGTCGCAAGCTATATTGAACCATCGTCGGCACTTGATGGCCATCTTGATGACCATTTTGGAGCATCGGAGGCCCTCTTGGAGCCATCTCGGGCGACGAGCAGACCGCCCAAGACGTCGGAGTACACCCCTCCCCGAGGGGAAGATGGTCTTGGAAGGCGCACGGAAGACATCGTCAGACCACCTGAGGCTCAAATGGCTGGTGAGATTCAGTCCCCGCCATGGCGCGAGCGGGCGAAAGTGTCGCTCTCGCTCCGGCGCCGCTCGGATTTCGCCTGAACGTCTCGGGCCGAACGAAGGGGTGGATAGGGAAAGGGGGGGGTACGGAATCTGCCGCGTGCAGCCGGTTTCGACCCCGCCGCCGGGCCCATTCTTCGATATGCGTGGCCGCCTCCGGCGCCGGGAGTCGCCGGGAAAATCAGCTGCGTGAGCTGATTCTCAAACACCCCCTTTGCTATCCCCCCTTTCGCCCAGCCCGGAAGTCGCGACTCCGCTTCAGCGCGGCGCAGGCGTGCCACTCGCCAATTTGTTTGGGGGGAGAGCCCGCGCGGGGGCGGGCGTCCTGTCGCCCTCGCCCCGCCCGTTGGGTGTGTGCCGACCGTGGAGGCTGGCCCGCCCAGTCACGGCCCGATCGCTGGGAAGGTCGCGTGCGGACGAGATTTCTGTCGGGCGTGTCCCCCTACAGGGGGATTGTCGACGAAAAATAAAACATATCGCAAACATACCCCCCAAAAATACCCCATAAAGGCAAAAGATACGCAAAACATCGTCCCCAGATTATGTTTGGATTATTTTTTGATTATCTTGGTGGTGTCTTTTATTTTTCGCCGACAACAAACCTGTAGGAGCCAGGGCCAACATAAGATGAGATGACCCCGGGGTCTACACCGGTTGCGTGGTGAATGAAGGGGGGAAGGAGGAGTCAACGGAGGAAGCGGAGGAGGGAGGAGGAGGAGGAGGAGGAGCAGGGGGACGATGATGATGATGAGGAGGAGGAGGAGGAGAAGAGGGAGGGAGTTAAAGAAAGGAGGGAGGAAGGAGAACGAAGGGAGACAGGATGTAATGGCCTGGTATGGGCACGAGGAGCAGAAGAGCAGTCAGATGTAGGAGGAATCAAGAGGAGAGGGAGAGAGATAGAGAGAGTAAGGTCGTCCCGTCTGATTGAATGGCTCCTCTGCCTCTCTGCATCCACCTGGGTCCCCCTCCACGGAGCCGAGCTTTGCTCCAGACGAGGGCGCGGAGGGCGGGGGAGGAACAGGAGAAGAAGGAGGAGAGGAGCGATTGGCCCAATCGCAGAAGGAGGCGCGTGCCCCGAGCATGCAACATGCACGTGCGTGGCCTCCCGCTGTGCCCAGGACCCCCGTCGGCCGGCATCGAGCCTTGAGCCGTGCCGGGTGAGCACCGTGCAGGCGCACCGGAAGTCGGCGCGCGGTGCTGCGACGCGCGGGTACTTGCGTCGATGGGCCGAAGCACGCGCGGAAGAGCGCCTTGCTTCGGCCCGCGCGCTGCTCTCCTGCCTTGTCAGTGGGAATGCGTTGCCGCGGCCGGATCTTCGGGGCTTCCTGCGGCGGAGGGAAAAGAGGAGTTCGCGGGCGATCTTCTCTCAGGACTGATCAGCTCTAGCTGGGACCCAGGTGAGGGACAAAATCCAGGTAAGGGAAGTCGGGTAGTGATTGGGCCCACACGCCAACAGGATTTCACGGACGGATTAGATCTAGCCAGGACCCAGGTCAAGGGAAGCCGCTGAGTGATAGTGATGGCTGTAGTGATTGCGCTTGGGAGTGCGCGGTCCGTTGGGCTACTGGTGGTCGTCTTCCGATTCGTTGCGTACTCATTGCGTCCTGTTGTCCCGTGGACCTGGAAGACCTGGGAAAAGAAGGAAAACAATACGAAAAAGAAAAGGAAAAGGATTAGGAGGCAGCGAGCCAATGGGCACCCAGGGTAGGAGGAGGAGGAGGAGGAGGAGGAGGAGGAGGAGGAGGAGGAGGAGGAGGAGGACGAGAAGCAGGTTGCATGTTTGGAACATGACACATCGCTTCGAAAAGCGCGGCAACGGGAAGCCCCAGCCAGCGGTTCTGTTCCCGGGGCGGATTTTGCGGGGGCTCTGCACTGGAGCGAGCCGGAATCAGCCATCCAGGTCTGCCGTAGCGCGTGTGCGTGCGTGCGTGCGTGCGTGCGTGCGAGCGTGCGTGCGTGCGTGCGTGCGTGTGCGTGTGCTTGTGCGTGTGCTATGTGCTATGTGCTATGTTCGTGTGCGTGTGCGTGTGTGTGTGTGTGTGCCGTGTGCCGTGTGCCGTATCCATGTCCATGTGCGTGTGCGCGTGTGTGTGTGTGTGTGTGTGTGTGTGTGTGTGTGTGCGTGCGTGCGTGCGTGCGTGCGTGCGTGCGTGTGTGCGTAAGTGCGTGTGCGCGTGCATGTGCGTGAATTATGTGATGTGTGCGTGTGCTGTGTGCATGTGCGTGTGCTTTGTGTGTGTGTGTGTTTGCTGGTGTGTGTGTGTGTGTTTGTGTGTGTGCGTGTGCTCCGTGCGTGTGCCGTGTTTGTGTGTGTGTGTGTGCGTGTGCGTGTGCGTGTACGTGTGGGTGTGCGCGTGCGTGTGTTGTGTGCTGTGTGTTGTGTGTTGTGTGTTCTGTGCTGTCTGCTGTGTGCTGTCTGTTGTGTGCTGCGTGCTGCGTGCTTAGTGCTGTGTGCTGTGTGCTGTGTGTGTGCGCTGTGTACTGTGTGTGCGTGTGCGCGTGCGTGTGCTGTGTGCATGTGCTGTGTGCGTGTGTGTATGTGCGTGTGCTCCGTGCGTGTGCGTGTGCGTGTGTGTGTGTGTGTGTGTGTGTGGTGTGTGTGTGTGCGTGTGCGTGTGCGTGTGCGTGTGCGTGTGCCATGTGCCATGTGCCATGTGCCGTGTGCCGTGTGCCGTGTGTTGTGTGTGTGCCCCCGCGGCCGCTGCCCGCTGCCTTGCCCCGCTGACACTGCGCCGTGAGGGGCCGGCCGTCTTCCCTTTCTTTTTTTCCCCCGGCGACAGTGCGCGCGCCCGGCCCAGGCTGTGCGGGCGCCAGACGCGCTGGCAATTCTCTGCGCCGGTACGACCGTATAGTGTGTGTGTTGTGTGCTGTGTGTGCTGTGTGTGCTGTGTGTGCTGTGTGTGCTGTGTGTGCTGTGTGCGTATGCGTGTGCGTGTGCGTGATCGTGTGCGTGTGTGTGCGAGTGCGTGTGCGTGTGCGTGTGCGTGTGCTTTGTGTGTGTTTGCTGGTGTGTGGGTTTGCGTGTGGGTGTGCGTGTGCCGTGTGCCGTGTGAGTGTGCGTGTGCTGTGTGCGTGTGCGTGTGCGTGTGCGTGTGCATGTGCTGTGTGCCGTGTGCTGTGTGCCGTGTGCTGTATGCTGTGTGCTGCGTGCTGTGTGCTCTGTGGTGTGTGCTGTGTGCCGCGTGCTGTGTGCTTTGTGCTGCGTGCTGCGTGCTGCGTGCTGTGTGCTTTGTGCGTGTGCGCTGCGTTCTGTGTTTATGTGCGTGTGCGTGTGCGAGTTCGTGTTTATGTGTGTGTGTGTGTTTGTGTGTGTGCGTGTGCGTGTGCGTGTACCGTGTGCGTGTGCGTGTGCGAGTGCGTGTGCGTGTATGTGTGTGCGTGTGCGTGTGTGTGTGTGTGTATGTGTGTGTGTGTCCCCGGCCCCTGCCCGCTGCCTTGCTCCGCCGACACTGCGCCGTGAGGGGCCAGCCGTCTTCCCGACGACAGTGCGCGCGCGGCCCTGGCTGTGCGGGCGCCCGACGCGCTTGCAACTCGCTGCGCCGCTACGACCGTATAGTGTGTGTGTGTGTGTGTCTCCGTGTGTGTGTGTGTTTTTGTGCGCGTGCGCGTGTGTGGCTTGTCGGGTGGCGGCAGTTCCATTCAATGGTGGAAGGGGATGCAGCCTCGCGGTGCTGCGCCGCTGCGGTGCCCCCGCAGGGCCACTGCGGTGTCAGAGGTACGGAAAACACAGGCACATTGCCCAACAACAAGAGTTTTTCAAAACCGACAGCGGCCGTTGTTGGGCAGCCGGTTGAATATCTTCAGTGAGCTACGTCCGCGGCAGCGCGGACAGCGAGTCTTGTTCAAAATGACGAGGATTTGTTGTTGGGCATCGTACCCCATCTTTCCGTACCCATTCCGATCGTCCCGATCAGAGGTTTGACCCCTCTTCGGAGCGAAGCAGAGGATTCACAAAAAAAGATCGGCATCACCGACATCTTTGAGTAGAAGTTCTCACGCGAGTCCGCGCACGTTTCACATTTTAGGCCACGGTCTCCACGCCATGCCCTGATGAGCACGGACGGTTTCCCTAGCAGAGCGCGCACGATTCTGGAGTTTGCTTCGCTTCGCTGGCAGTTTCAGACTTGTGCAGCGCTGTTGGCTTGAATTGGAACCACGGGGGTAAAATCGGCCAGCAGGCAATCGAGCGTAGCTTGGGGCGGGAGAGTGCCCCCGAGAACACATCACTAGACTACCGCCAAGACGCTGAAATAAGGGACAGTTGGGGTTCGGAAGGGGTTCGCTGGTCCTTAGATCCTTCCATGGTTGTTCCTCTACCACTCCTCGTGCATGCAGGCGCTCCGTAGGGCGTAGGGCCAGACAGAGGGTTCTGTTCACCATTCAGCGACCTTCATGGTAGCAGCTGTCATCTCCAGTGTCCTGCTGAATCCAGTCTTGTCAACATCCGAACCGCTCTCTCCTGCTTGAGCACACCCTACTCCTCCGCCTCCGTCCTCTGGGCCCCCCTCCTCAAGGGCGCCCTCGAGGGCGCGAAGTTATTCGCGCTTCGCGGTTCGCGGTTCGGTTTCGATTCCTCTTCATTCTCCTCTTCATTCTCCTCTTCATTCGTTTTTCGCGCAGCGCGAAGCGCGAAGTTGGGTGGGGCGGGCTGAGAACGAGGAGCCGCGCGGCCAGATCGCAGTTTGCTTTCGGCTTCTTCCTCACCCTGCTTCAGGGGGTGGGTGGAAGTGCGGACGCCCAATCTATGGTCAACACCTTTTTCGACGAGTGGGTTGAGGATTCAAGGATCTCCCAGATTGGGCTGATGATTCAAGGATATTCCAGACCTCCAACGTTTGGGTACCCGTTGCATCCTGGCCTTTTCGGCACATCCTCGGCCAGCTGAAACGGCGGGTCCCCGCGAGGATGCCCCCCCCCGGCGTCAGGTTGCAGATGCGGCGCTCGAGGGTCATGCACCGTGGTGCGCCTTGGCCGTGTGTTGCGCAGTCACTACGCAAGAGTGGTTTTCTGGCCCAGAGTTGTCTCAACTTGGAGGTCTCTACAGGGAGGGCCTCGTCATTCCTCCTCCTGTCACAGGGAGGGCCTCGTCATTCCTCCTCCTGTCACCACCCCCCGCACCGTCTCTGCTGCTCCCTCTCGATGTCTTTGCAAAGGGGTCTCGGTGGCAGATAGCTTTCGCTCTCCAAGGGTCCCCCTACCCACGAGGAGGGAGACCGAGGGTGCCGCAGAGAGGCGCTGCGCGTGATGGCACCGACAAGCCGCTGCCGCGCTCTCCTTGCCCTTCCCTCACTCCGAGAGCCCTCCCAATCGGGGAGGCGGAGCACGAGGAGAAGTGGGGGGGCAGTGTGGGGGACGGGGCAGGGGCAGGCGGGGTGCCAGGGGCACCGTGCGCGGTGCGATCGCCCTGCTGTGTCTTCCTCCGCGCTCTTCCCCGACTGCTGGAGCCCTTCCACGAGGCGGACGGCGAGGAGGGCAGGATAGGGATGGGAAGGAGGAGGAGGAGATGGAGGAGGAGATGGAGGAAGAGGAGGAGGATGAGGAGAAGGAGGATGATGAGGACGGGGAGGTGTACCAAGGGAGGGCCCCAAAGACATCGCGCCGTTTCCTTCCCGATCTGCGACTGGCATCAAATATCCTCCTCGCCCTCCCGCCGTCCTTCGCCCGGAGGAGGGGGAGGGGGGACGGAGGAGGGAGGAGGAGTAGGAGGAGGGGGAGGGAGGACGGAGGTGACTAGGAGAGAGGCGGGAGGAGGAAGGAGGGAGGGAGCGAGGGAGGGAGGAGGCGGAGGAGGAGGAGCAGGAGGAGGAGGGACGACGCGGACGGGAGGCCTCGGGGATGTCGCGACGTCGCCAAGCAGGCCTCTGGAGGCCAAGGGCCGACGATCTCCGATACTCAGTCGGACATGACGACGCAAGGAGAGACGACGACGAGGACGACGACGACGACGACGACGACGACGATTATGACGACGGCGGACACTCCACACATCAATTCTCGACCTTCAATCGGCGACAACGACGACCACGAAGCGACGACGACGACGACGACGGTGGACACCCCACAAAACGATCCTCGACCTTCAATCGGCGACGAAGACGACGACGACCACGATGCGACGACGAATTGACGACGACGATGATGAAGCGACGACGACGACGACGACGACAACGACGACGATGACGCCGCGTGCTGCGAGGGCGGCGGCAGCGGCGACGACGACGACGACGACGACGACCGAGCTGCGGCGCCAGCCCCTGCGTGCGACGCGCCGGCGCCGCCAGGGACGTCCCGCCGCGGCTGTTGCCCCGGCCCCAGCGCCGAAGGCGGCGGAGGGTCTGGGGCGGCCGGAGGGTGGGGTGCAGGGCTCTGCTCGACTCCTCCGGTTCGATTCGGCTTCGATGGCCTCCGATTCCGATTCGATTTGACTTCGGACTCCGATTTCGCTTCCGAGTTCTCCCCTAGGGGCCTACTAACCTGCCAGTTTCCGCCGATTCGACTTCTCCCGACTCGGCTGCCGATATCTGCCGATCCGACCCATTTCGATCGCCGATCCGACTTCTCGATTCGATTCTGGGCTCTCCTCGGGGTGCTGACTAGCGTTAAGTCGGGCCTTCCCCTCTACAGGAGGAAGAAAAACAAAACTAGTAAAAAATAGTCTGGTGACGACTTCTTGATTATGTCTGACCATTCGGGGACATTTTTTGACAATTTGCATCTTTCGTCCAAACTCCGCCTGTAGGGGGACATGCCCACCCTAAGACTAGGGGAGGTGGTTGTTTCAGGGGAGGACAGACCACCCAGACCTGGACAATTGGCGTTTGCTGAACGGCCCTTGGCGTTTACTGGCCCTCGCCCTGTTCGATTCCTCCCTCGGGTGCGTTTGCCAAACGCCTGCCTTGTCGGGGTGTTTCTTCTGGGGGCGGATTTTCTGCTCTCTAATCCTAAGTCGGGCCTGTCTCTCTACAGCACGAATATTCGAAAATTGTCTAAAATAGTCTGGGGACGGTTGTTCGATTATTTTTGAAAATGTTTGAATATGTTTGCACTATTCTTTTAATTTGTCATCCAAGATCCCCCTGTAGGAGGACACGCCCGACCTAAATCTAACCCTGGCGGGGGCCATGAGATTTTCCAAGATCTCGTGGCGCCTCTTCTCTTACTTCGTGGCGTCCCCGCCCCCCCCCCTGGGCCGCGCACAGGCCGCAGGCCATGACTGTTGTGCCCCCCCCTCCTGGACGCCCCCCTTCCGAGAGGGCTGGGGGTGGGGGCACGTACTGTGGGTTCTCGTCGTGTCGAACGGCGGCGACCCCGCCACCATCATTCGTCGTCCCCTCATGATAAGACGTCTGACCCACATGCGTTGACCCCCCCGGTCGCGGTGCCAGAGGCAGAGGTGGCTGCCACAGGATATGCGCTACACGCACATCACCTACCAATACCAGGTGCCAACGTCGAGCACCTATTTCAAGGGTGGGAGAGCCCAAGTGCCCCATCCGATTCAAAAGGGTTATGCCTACCCTCAAAGGCATCAGCACAACACTGCAATCCTCCCTTCTCCTCCCAACTCCGCCTCCTCCTCCTCCTCCTCCTCCTCCTCCCTCCTCCCCCTCCCCCTCCCTCCTCCTCCTCCTCCTCCTCCTCGTCCCCTCCTCCCTCCTCTCTCCTCCCTCCCCTCCTCCTCCTCCCTCCTCCCTTCTCCCTTCCTCCCTCCCTCCTCCCTCCTCCCTCCTCCTCTCCTCCTTCTCCTCCCTTCCCCCTCCCCCTCCCCCTCCCCCTCCTCCTCCTCCTCCTCCTCCTCCTCCCTCCTCCCTCCTCCTCCCTCCTCCCTCTCTCCCTCCTCCCTCCTCCCTCCTCCCCTCCTCCTCCCTCCTCTCCCCTCCTCCTCCTCCTCCTCCTCCTCCTCTCCTCCTCCTCCTCCTCCTTCCTCCTCCCTCCTCCTCCTCCTCCTCCCCCTCCTCCTCCTCCTCCTTCTCCTCCTTTTTGACGTTGGGCAAACATGAGGCGGGGCCGGTCGTCCTCCTCCGCCTCCTCCTCTTTTCCCTCTTCCTGCCTCCAGAAATCCTTCGCCCATCCCCTCTTCGGGGACGCACTCGGTACGTGAGCCCTCAGATCGAGGATCGACGACCGATGAGGAGGAGGAGGAGGAGGAGGAGGAGGAGGAGGAGGAGGAGGAGGAGAGAGGAGGAGGAGGAGGGGAGGAGGAGGAGGAGGAGGAGGAGGAGGAGGAGGAGGAGGAGGAGCAGCAGGAGGAGGAAGGAGCAGGAGGAGGAGGAGAGGAGGAGGAGGAGGAGGGAGGAGGAGGAGGAGGAGGAGGAGGGGGGGGGAGGGAGGAGGAGGAGGAGCCATGTGTCATTTTGAGTTGAATCGGAGATGCGCCGATTCGAGCCTCCAGCAGTATGCAGTTTTACTTGCTTGCGTTAAGGGTTCACAAGGACATGCGCCGATCCCAGCCTCCAGCAGAGTTCTTCAATATTTCATATGTGGTTCAATTATTTCCCCGCCGTTGGGTCGACCGGCGCCTGCTCGCTTGCGTCCGCGGGCCCACAAGTGATTATCTTCAGATTCCCCTCTGGACACGGTCCCGGTCCTCAGCGGAGGTATTGAATAGGATGTTGGTGTTTGTTGAAGAGGAAACGTGTTGATCCCAGCATCTCGCAGAATTCTTTCATATTCGATTGATGCTTCAATCGTGAATCCAATATAGAGTCCAAGAGCAACGTGGCCCATTCCATCCTCCCGCATAGTTAATTGTTGAATGTTTCATGTGTTTCTCAGCCAGGGTTGCATAGGAAATGCGCCAATCCCAGCCTCCAGCTGAATCCTTTTTGATATTTTATGAATTACCGATTCGGGCTTCAATAAGAGATACCCCGACTCCAGCCTCCCGCAGGATACTCACATGCTTGCTTCCAACAAACATGATCTTCGCTTTTTCAATAGGAAACTCGTAGAGCCCAGCCTCCAGCGAATCTCCTGCACATTATATCTCTCTCCGCTTGCAATTCAATACGAAATGTGCCGATCCCGGCCTCCCGCAATATCATGTCCTTCAATTGTGTTTGCATTCCAATGGGATTACAATCGGAAATTCGAAGATCCCACCCTCCTGCAGGATTCCTGTATATTTAATGCAGTCTCCACTACAAGTTCAATCAGAAGCTTGCTGGCGCCAGCCTCCCGCAGGAGTCATTAATACTTCATGCGTCTTCAGCTGGGATTCAATAGGACGTGCGCCTATCCCAACTTTCCGCAGGATGTATTCAGGATGTTTAGTGTGACTCAATGAGAAGTGAATCGACAAATCGCCGATCCCAGCCTCACACACTTTGCACATATGTTTCGTATACGTTGTCTTTACGTTCGTGTACATATTCTTGTACGTATGATACAGGTGCCATGCAGGATTCAAAAGCGTTTCCAGTACGTTTCGTAAGCACGATACGTACATGCATGTCCTATATTTGCAATGTGGTTCCCCGTTCAGATGCACACGTTCCATACATGACGGATGCATCTCGTGTCATACATGTTTTCTTGCAGTCGTTTCTCAGAAGTGCTGCATACGCGTTTCATATACGTGAATGTTTCGTATACGTTCGTACATGTTGTCGTTCTGGAGTGCCTTGTGCCTGTGTGGGGCCGGCCTGGAGTATTCAAACCTTTGTTTCACAGGGCAGGGGCATGGCCCAGATCACATCCGCGCGCTATGAAATCCGAGCGGGCTCCTTTGTAGGATGCCCAGATGAAAAACCATTGTTTGTCGAGGCTGTTGGGATCTGAACCGTTCCTGTTTTAGTCCCGGTGGGCCAGGATCTTAACCGTCCAGTTGGGATTTGACCCCGTCGAGTTGTAGCAGCATGGCGGATCGGGGGGGGGCAACCACCCCGTTCTCACCCTCGTTCTGGCATATCTTCTCTCGTTTTCCTCCTCCTCCTTCGTTTTCTTGCTCCTTCTCCTCCTCGTCCTCAGAAGACGAGGAGGAGAACGAGCAGGATGAGCAGGAGGGAGGACATCGAGGAGAGAGGACGGTCACCCGTCCTCGTCATCCCCTCTCCCTCGTTCTCCTCCGCGCTCTCCTCCTGCCTTTGCCTGTCGCGCCCGGGCGCGCTTCCACTCCTTGCCGACCGCGGCGCGCCGGTCGGCGCCGCCGCCTGGTCGGCAGCGCCCCCCAGGAGCGACGGAAGAGAGCGGGCCAGTGTCGTCGAGCCGACCCCCATCCATCATCCCCATCCCCAGCCCCTCCCCCCCCTACCATCTCGGCACCCCAGCTGGGGACAGGCCCCTCGAGAACCGACGGAGGCGGCCCACGTCCGCATCCAAGGGGGTGACTCGGACAGTGGGGCCCTGGCCTCGCCCGTGGGGACAGGGATCGGTCCAAGCCAATTATGCTCGTGGTCGGCACCGCCCCCCCGCGAGCGGCGGAAGACGGCGGGGTCGACTGCACTGTGAGCTCCTCTTGGGAGGTCGCGCGCAGGCGCCCTCGATCTCCTCGCAGGTGTGCCGCGCCGGCGGCCTGCGCGAGCCGCCGCGTGAGGTCGCCATGTCCTTGATGGGCAGACTTTCCACCACCACTACCATGTGTACGACGGGGGAGCAGGGAGGATAAAAAGATCCTCCTCCTCCTCCTCCTCCTCCTCCTCCTCCTACCCATGGTAGTGGTGGTGGATAACGAGCCCATCAGTCCTCTCGTGGGAGGCCCGTTCCTCTTTGTCGCCCCCCCCTTCCCTGAGATCCGGCGCCGCGAAGGATGACCGGGGCCTCGTGAGACGCCACGACCGGAGCCCGACAGGCCCGACCCTTCTGCAGCACCTCTCGAGCTCTCATCGATCTGGACGGGGAAAACACAGATACAATTCATCGTCGACCCCGAGGAAAGCATGGGAAGTCGGATGGAAGACGACAATCCAGAAAATATGTGAAAGAATATGAGGAATCCTGGGACGTAGCACCCCGCAGATGCGGATAAGAGTGAGGGGTGGTGGGGACGTCGGTAATCTGCGAGACTCTGGAGAAGCCCGCCGCAGGCGCCAAAGTTTCACAAATTGTACGACGATCCCGTCGCAGGCGCCGATTTTTTCTTCAAACCAATGTGGATCGGTCGTGGGTGGGTCGCGGGGTGGGTCGCGGGTGTGGCGCGAGTGGAACGCGGATGGGTCGCGGTTGGGTCGCGGGGTGGGTCGCGGATGGGTCGCGGGGTGGGTCGCGGGTGGGTCACGGAGGGGACGATGACGACGACGACGACGACGAACAACAACAACAACAGCAAGAACAACAACAACAACAACAACAACAACAACAACAACAGCAACAGCAACAGCAACAGCAACAACAACGCAACAAGCAAAATCCTCACCACGGATTCTCACTTCAGCCACGCGCCCAGGGACAATGACTGACCGTTCGTCCCTCTCACTCTGACTTGTGTGTATTTGTTTGTGTGTATTTGGGCCCCTTTATCGACCTATAAGGGCTCTGGGGCCCGAGGCAGAGGAAAAATGCCCGGTGTGACAAAATGTGGGTGCGATCGAAGTGGGTACGGAAACAATGGGTACGAAGATCTGGGCCTCCTAGATGGGGTCGGAATAGATGGGGTCGGAGGATCTCGCCGCATCGCTGATGCATCGCCGATATGGCTCGATGCGGAGCCCGATTTCTCCATGCCGACAGCGCCGATACATCGCCGACGTCGACGATGCATCGCCGGTGCATCGCCGATACATCGCCGATGTATCGTCGACGTATTGGCGATGCGGCGCGATCCTCCGAGCCCATCTACTCCGACCCCATCTAGGAGGCCTCTAGAAGACCAACAGCAGTTACTGATCATTTGAGCAGGACTCGCTATCGGTGTCGCCGCGGACGTTGTCCATTTGATACAAAAGGTCGCCTGCCCAAGAGCGGCAGTGGTCGGTGATAGACAACACGTGTTGTTGGGCATCGTACCCATTTTCCTCGCACCCAATTCGGGCGTCCAAACATTTGTTAGAGAAAGGGCGAGGCGATGGGGGGACCATAATTACACGCAAAGAACCTCATCAAACTCCTCTCTCCTCCTCCTCCCCCTCATCGTCGTCGTCGCCGTCGTCGCTCATCCTCACCCCTCCTCACCCCTGTTCCTCACCCCTTTCCGAAGCAACCGAAGGTACCGATACCCCTACCCCCCAGACCTCTCCCGGGGTGCGTTCTGAACAGGATGTCGAGGCGAATCCAGCGCTGGCGACGAGGGCCTCCCGGGAGGCCCACCACAGGGGAAAACGGCCGAGGGGCAGCGGTACGGTATCCTCCTGGGGGGTCAAGGGGGCCCAGGGGGGCCCCAGGGGCCCCAAAATGGAGCGAAAAGCCGGGGGGACTCCTCCTCCTCCTCCTCCTCCTCCTCCTTCTCCTGCTCCTGGTCCTGCTGCTCCTCCTCTTCCTTCTCCTCCTTCTCCTCCTCCTCCTCCTCCTCTTTCTCCTCCTCCTCCTCCTCCGACCCTTCGGGCGCCCAGAGCACTGCGACGCCCAGACCTCGGGCCTCGTGCGCGGCGGCGCGAGCCCCCCCGCCGGCCGCGCGCCATGCGGGCGGGGCAGGCCCTCGCGGCCCTCCTGGCCGCGCGCGGGGCGGCGGGCGACGGGCCCGGCGCCGGCGCGCGGCGCCTGCCCGAGGGGGCAGGCCCCGTCGAGGGTCGAGGAGCGAGGAGCCAGGCCTCCTATCGAGGAGCGAGGATCGAGGTTCGAGGATCTGGGCCTCCCAATTGGGAGGATCGAGCATCGAGGTTCGAGTGGTTCGAGGAGCGAGGGTCGAGGAGGTAGGTGGGGTCGGAGGGTCGCGGCGCATCGCCAGTGCATCGCCGATGTGGCGCGATCCTCCGACCCCATCTCCTCGAACCCTATGTAGGAGGCCTCTAGAGTGAAGTCGGACATGCCCCTCTACAGGAGGAACATTTACAACAGTAGTCAAACAACCAGGCGAGGGGGGTGTTTTTTTGTAAGTTATTAGTATGACCATGTTTGAGTATGTGTTGTGTTGTGTATGTTTCATTTGTCATCCAAAATCCGCCTGTAGGATCTGCGCGGGCGAAATGGGCACGGAATGAATGGGTACAATGCCCAACAGCGGATCTGGTTCATTCTGAACAGGACTCGCTGTCCACGCCGCCGCGGCCTGTGTCCATTCGAGACCGGAGGCCTCATGCCCAACAGCGGCCGCTGTTGGTTTGGGACAACATTTGTTGTTGGGCATTGCACCCATCCTTTCCGTACAGTCGGCACGGATCAGTAGGTCGACCCTGCCAAAATCGAGGGTACCCTTGTGTCCTGTGTCTCGCGACCCCTGCCTCCCGCATTCCTGTGGCAGTGTGGCCCTCGGAGGGGTCTCGTGTCCTCTCGCGTGTCCTCTCCAACCAAGTCCGACTGTACCCATTTCTGGTGGGCGCGTTTTCCACCACCACCACAAGTTGGAGGGGGGGAGGAGGAGGAGGAGGAGGAGGAGGAGGAGGAGGAGGAGGAGGAGGAGGAGGAGGAGGAGGAGGACTATCGAGGACTATCGAGCGAGGGGCTCCGCGGTCGACTCGGCCGCCGCGGCCCCCGCCCGCGCCGACCGCGCGGGCTCTCTTGAGGTCGCGAGCCCACCCCAGAGACAGGGCGGGACTCCACCTCCCTGCCGCTCCCAGGGCAGAATATTTCTGCGGGGCCCAAGCCCCGTACCAGGCCGCGTAGACCGCGCAGGCCCGAGCCGCGCTGCCGCGGCTGAGGTCGCGAGCCAGCCCCCTGAACAGGGCGGGCCTCCACCTCACTGCCACTCCAGGGCAGAGTAAATCTGCGGGGCCGGAAGCTCCGTGCCATGTACTCAACCACGCGGCCGTCACCCAGCAGCAGCTCGTGGTAGCCGACCGCCGTTGGGCGGCACCGTCCTGTCTGGCCAGTTCTGGCCCGCTTTTGGTGGTAGTCCATGCCGAAGTCGCCGCAGTACAGTCGTCCCACTCGGGGTGATCTTATCTCTGCACTTCGCAGCCAGCAAGTTGATTCTGCCATGTCCATCATCATTGTGTGAAGCCACTGCCACACAGCTCCAGCAACATAACTGCCCATGGGCCACCGCGATGCAGTGGCTGGCGTGGATCACTTTGTCCTTTTTCTATATCATCTCGTTGTTGGGTACTTGTGCAGCATATCCATGATCAGCTCGGTGCGTCTCGTACTGCCTTCCGACACACACACACATTAGCCTTCATCCAGTCGACCACACTGTAGCTGCCAGGTGTGAGCCAGCACTCTTGGCATACCCATTGGCCCTTCTTCTTGAGCTCGTTTTGCTATCTTTTTCGGTGCCTGTCTTGGTCTGTCCAGCTTGCTGGGGTCCGCATCCTTGCAGATCTCGTGGGTAATGGCTGCTGCACGTCGCTGAGCTCTCATGAGGCTAGCCCCCACTTCCATTAGTAGGGTTGTCTCGTCACGTATTTCTGCCATGGCCTCTTCTGCTCCCCGCTGGGCAAGGGTATCCGCCATTTCGTTGCCCATGCTGATGCGGAAGGCCTGGCCCGACTGCTTGACGGACTCCTGGTCGAGGTGGGATAGGCATTTGTGGTTTTGCACCCCGTATATCCCATTAGGTCGCTTGATTATCAATTGACCCATCCTTTCCCACCATGGTCTTTGGGCTCCTTGGCGCTTCTCGTAGTACTTGTGGGTCCAGCCATTCACGACTTGCTGGCAGTCTGCGAAGATCTCGATTGGATTGTGGCATGCGCCAACGCCCAGAACAGTCCTGCATGCTCAGCTGCTGGTGCGCTCTGCTCCCCATCGATCGTGCCGTAGAAGCCGATGTGGTCTGTGCCGTCTATGTGGCCAGTGCAGAGGGTAGGTCGACTTCCTTGTCGTAGTTCATGCGCGCGTAAGTGTTGTACCCCTGGTGGGCTCTCTTGCTCCCCGAGGGCATCTTCGCACCACAGACGCGCCTGCCCTAACTGCTGCTGCTGCCGTCCATGCAGTAGTTGTAGTGTGAGTCCCCCTCTCTCTCTCTCTCTCTCTCTCTCTTTTGATGCGTTTGTCGTTGCTGGTGCCTGATCCGTCCACGGGGCCCTGCTGCACTGTCCTGGGTCTATAGCAACGAGCTCTCTCGCAAGGAACTTAGGCCCAGCTGCTGCCGTAGCCCAGAAGCTGCCGCCCCCATCTCCCCATGCTGGTGGATCTGGTACTGGATTTCTGTGCCGAGGAAGTAGTCAACGTAGCCAATGCGTCTCTGTCTCGGGATCACCACGCATATCTTCTATGGCTCTCTTGCGTAGCGACTGTGATTTGATCACCACGTCAATTGAGAGGTTGCCGTTCATGTCGTGCTCGTAGGGCCTGTGCTTTAGCGTGCCGGCCGCCTTCAAGCATCTTGGACATATTCCGTCCGTTTGATATCCTGCGTCTTTACACCGTTGTCCAGTCCATATGGTGCCACAAGCTCGAGCTTCGAGTGCGCCAGCTTCTTGGACTCAGTAAGCTTTCCGTAGTTTCTGCAGCGTCTTCTTAAGCATTGTAGTGCCCGCACCGCATTGCATTCCTTTGCCGTAGTCTTGGCTCGCAGTTTTTGCCCAGATCTGTGATTCCATATTTTTTGCCAGCACCTTCAGGATCTCCCTGGAGCCCAGTGTGCCCTCACTTTGGAACCTCAAGTTTTCCCCACGTGCGTCGTCCCACTCGTCTGGCTGCTTCGGGTTCCATCCAAACTGCTAGAGCGACAGGATGAGGGCCCCCGTTGGCCCCGCGATGGGGTTCCACTTGCCCCTGGGTCTCATATGCGTCAGCCGCTTTAGATTATCTTGCCATCCTTGTCGTAGTCGGTCGTTTGCTGGCGTGTCGTTCTGCCACATCTGGATCCATTCTCGTGCGTGTCGCTGGAGGCATGCTGTGGCTTGTCCGTTCTCGCCGTAGAGGATGGCGTTGGTGGTTGAGGTGCGCCTGCCACTGGTTGTGAAGCCAATCGTTTCTGCCGCTTGAGCTCTTGCATCACGCACTGCACTTGGGCTGAGGCCTGTGACTGGCCAATCGTAGCTCTGCTTGGCCCTCGGGTTCAAATAGAATAATGTCGCCGTTCTGCGCAGCCAGCGCCCTTTCTGCCTGCTGAAGACCCTCGCGTGCTTGGCTCGTAAGCGCGCGCTCGGTCCTGCCCATGCGCGTGGACGCGGGGCGCTGCCTTCCCATCGCCGCGCCGATGCCGAGGTCCTTGGCGAACTTCGGGGTCTTACTATTGATGCCCTTTCCTTAGAGATGCTTGACGCTTGACGATGGCCTTACTGGTGGCATCGCAGTTCGCGAGCAGGGCTGGCTATCCTGATGCCGCCAGCTTTGCGCCCAGGCATGCCTGCGCCAACGTGCCAGCCGCGACGGGGAACTGCGCTTGGAATTGGCATGGTCGCCCTTCAACTCGCGCGTGGAGGTCGCACACGAAAACACGCGCGACCGCTAGCGGCGCCGCGGTGTGGGTGATGTCCAGGACTATATAGACCATGGCCTTCGCCGCGTGGTTCGCAGCCGCACATCCTACCACGATGCCATTTCATGGGCAGACATGCTCGGCATGATCACATGGCAAGCGCGTGCTACTCGACGCGATCGCTACATTCGTATGCCCATGTAGAGGTGGACCTTTGGGCGTTCCAGCTGCATGACCCGCCTCATAAGGATGCCCAGGTCCACGCTGTCGTAGAACTTCCCAATGTCGAGGTAGAATGTCCCGCGCAGGGGTCCTCTGAGTTTTGCGCTTCTCTCATGAAATGACATGGATGCTACGGCGGCTCTAAGTGCCGACGAGCCGTGGATCGTTGCCCCCCAATAGCCAGCCTTCTCGGCACACCAATCCTGCATGTCACTTGGTGCCATCTCCCCCCACAGGCGCACCTGGAACGGTAGTAGCGCAATAAATAGGTCGCTCCTCGCCTGCCGTGTTAGAGCCTGCTTTGCCCGACAAGTGGTACCATAGATGGTATAATTGATGGGGCCACCACAAGTTCCGCTCGCACGAGTTGGCCACGTAGACCAGGCTGCGCTTGGCTTCTTGTCGGGGGGGCTTTATCTCTGACGGTTGCCATTGGTCCGTTCCTCGCGCCGTGGTCGGCCGAAAATTCGGGGGGGGGGGGGGGGGGGCGCCTCCAGGTCGTTAGCGTCGAAGTAGCTGCGGCGAGGTAGCTCTTATTGGGCTGCCTGTCTGCGCTCTGACATAGCCTCTTCCAGCCTCTTACTGCAGTTGTGCCGCTGCCACCTCGCCTGCCATCTTTTTGCGCGACATTATGTGGCTTCTCGTAGCGCTCCAGTTTCTCCTTCAGTAACTGGGTCCACTGCAGTATTTGGTAGGTCTCGCCGTTCACGCTTGCTGATATAATTGTGGGCTGCCTTCGCACTGCCTGACAATGCCGATCTGGTCCATTGCCCCACTTGCTCCCCGATGTTATTCCATAGCTTCCGCGCGTGCCACTCTGATCGTGCCCGTGTAGCCTCCATTGCGTCACGCCACTCTTGGGCGTTCTCGACTGTTACTTCTGGATCTGGGTCGCGTCGGAGGTTGGTGGCTCGTCCAGCTAGTCGAGCTGCTTGGGCATCTGAGTAAGACGCTTCCTCTATACCTGTCTTGTCGGGCGCCTCTATCTGATCCACAAGCAGATTGATGATTTGATGATGAGGCATGCG